ATCCTTCTTGCCCTAGCCAGTTTGTCTCAGCAATTGGAGCATCGACCCATGGACCAAAGAGCCTCAGGTTGGATTTCAGTCAAGGGCATGAACCTCGGTTGTGGTTCGAAACCTGGTCCTGGTCATGGTGGTGGGGGGTGGCCAGTTGTTTGTTTTTAAATTCTCACTTAAGGATATATTTATTGATTTTAGTGAGAGAAATATCGATCTGCTTGCTTCCCATACACACCTCAACCAGGTATCAAACCAGCAACCTAGGTATGCACCTGACTGGTAATTGAACTTGCAACCTTTTTCTTGTACAGGACAACACTCCTACCAGCTGAGCTGCAGGGCTGGTGCATGGTGTGACATTATTTGCATTTGTTGCTTTTCTTTATCCTCACGTGAGGACATTTTTTTTTTTTTATCCTCACACGAGGATATTTTTTCCATTTTTTGTACAGATAGAGTGGGAGGGAGAGAGAGTGAGAAACATCGACGTGAAGGGACACATCGAGTGGCTGCCACCCGCACGACCAACCAGGGCCGGGGACAAACTGCAACCGAGGTACATGCCCTTAGCGGGAACCGAACCCGGGTCTCTCCGGACCGCAGGCCGACGCTCTAACCGCTGAGCCAAACTGCCCAGGGCACGTGAGGACATTTTTGCATTTATTTTTAGAATGGGATAATGACAGGAAGAGCTAGAAAAACATGGACGAGACACATTGATTGGTTGCCACCTGCACAACCGCAACCGGGGCTGGGAATGAACCGCAAATGACGTATGTGCCCTAAGTTGGAACCGAACTTGGGAATGTCTTGTCTGAGGGCCAACGTTCTTAAGTACTGAGCCAAAAGGGCTGGGCTGTGTGATGTTATTATTCTTCAACAATGAAAGCTAATTTTTATTACATAATTGTTACATGTTATTGTGTTTTTGTAGATGCTCTTAATAGTTGTAACAGTCAGACCTGGTAGTACTATTTTTACCCCAATCTTACCTGTTGGGGAACAGACACTATGAGGTTTGTAACTAACTCTCAGAGCTCAGATTCACATCCTGAAAGTCAGACCACAGAGCTTGTGTTCTTAATTTGACCAAGACCTCTCCTTCCACATTATACATACTTTTTGTTTTATTTTTTATATTTAAAAATGAGTTTTTATTGACTTTTTTAGAGAGGAAAGGAGAAACATCCTTGAAACATTGATTGGCCGCCTCCGGCACGCCCCCTACTGGGCACTGAGCTTGAAACGAGGCTTCACATGTGCCCTGACCAGGAATCAAACCAAGACCTCACAGTCCATGGGAGGATGCTCCATCCACTGAGCCACACTGGCTGGGCTACATACCTTTTTAAACCTACATTCTTCGCCTGGTAATTCATCTTAAATTCCTTTCTCAATATAAGTATCAATACTAATAAATATGTGCCATTATAGCAGACCGTAATCCATTTCATCTGTCCTCTACTATAAGATATAGTTCTACTTTTCTTTTTAAAGCATTCTCTGGAAAATCTAAATAAAATTGATGGATTGTGTCAATATCAACATCCTGGTTGTGATACTGTTCGGTAGCTTTGCTGTAGAACTCCATTGCCGTAAAAGGGGGAAAGGGTGCACAGAAGCCCTTAAGTATTACTACTTCTAAAGATTTTTAAATTGATGTTCAGAGAGAGGAAGGGAGAGGGAGAAAGAGAGGGAAACATCAATATGAGAGTGGAACAACCATAGGCCGCCTCCTGCATGACCCCTACCAGGGATTGAGCCCAAAATCCTTCAGTGTGTGGGATGACAACCAACCGAGCCAAACAGGCCAGTACCCTTTGCATTATTTCCTATAACGTATAACTGCACATGATTCACAATTTTAAATATCTGTCTCATAAAAAAGTCTCTGAAGAGCCCAGCCTGTGTTGTTCAGTGGACTGAGCATCGTCCCATGGACTGAGAGGTCCAGGTTCGATTCCTGGCCAGGGTACATAATTGGGTTGTGCGCTCAATCCCCAATAGGGGGTATACAGGAGGCAGCTGATGGATGTTTCTTTCTCATTGATGTTTCTCTCTCCCTTTCTCTCTCTCTCAAAAAAAAAAAAAAAAAAAAAAATCAGACCTGGCCGGATTGGCTCAATGGTTAGAGCGTTGGCCTGTGGTCCAGAGAGACCTGGGTTAGGTTCCCGCTAAGGGCATGTACTGTACCTGGGTTGCAGTTTGTCCCCGGCCCAGGTTGGTCGTGCGGGTGGCAGCCACTCGATGTGTCCCTTTCACATCGATGTTTCTCTCTCTCTCTCTTCCTCTCTCTCCCTCTCACTCTATCTGTGCAAAAAATGTCCTCGGGTGAGGATTAAAATAAATAAATAAATAAATAAATAAATAATCAATAAAAACATTTTTAAAAATCTCTGAACATTCTTATGCATACACATATATATATAATAGATTCTTTCTTGGGATACCTTCCAAAAAATGGAGTTTTGAGTTGAAATCATACTTCTATTAAGTGCCTGCCCTGTGGTATTAGTGCTGGGGACGACTGAAAGGACAGTTACCTGCCCATTGCTTGTAATCCAGCAAGGAAGGGTACCTCGGAGTAGAAGAAGCACAAGGCAGCCTGTGGTCACGGCCTGTGGCGAATGGCAGGTGATGTGCCATCACGGGTGCTAGGAACGGGCATCGTTCTCACTGGAGCCATTGACGTCGGATCATGACCAAGTAAACCTGACTGCACGGGCCCTGTGTGCAGAGCAACAGGACTTCCTTTCTGTGTTTCGTACCTTACATATGTTTTCTAATGTTTCGTGCAAAGTGAAGCCTAACAGGGTCAGTTGGTTTAGCAGTTGTCTGCAGGACACCATGGCTGAAAGGACAAGTTCTCAAGTATAGTGCCCACTGCCATCAGGACGTAAAATAAAACAGCATCGTGACAACTGCCAGTAACCAGCGTATCACTCAAAAATGTGGTCATGGTGTCCATCCACTATGCCAGGCACAGATAGGTAACTTGGGGTGCACACACACAGAAAAGGGTAAGGACAGGATAAATGTGAATGGAAAGACACTTGACTTCACATTGTAAACACACAGCACAATATTGAGACAATGTCTTATAAAATACTACACTTGAAACTCATATAATTTTATTAACCAACGTCACTCTTATGTATTCAAAAATTTTTTAAACTATAAATGTATAAATAATATGATTTTTTGCCCTGGCCGGTTTGGCTCAGCGGTTAGAGTGTCGGCCTGTGGTCCAGAGAGACCCAGGTTCGGTTCCCGCTAAGGGCATGTACCTTGGTTGCAGTTTGTCCCTGGCCCTGGTTGGGTCGAACAGGTAGCAACCACTCGATGTGTCCCTTTCACGTCGATGTTTCTCTCTCTCACTCTCTCTCTCCCTCCCACTCTATCTGAACAAAAAACAAAAAAATGTCCTCAACTGAGGATAAAAAGAAATAAAAAAAAAACAACTGATTTTTTAATTGAGTAATTTTACTCAGTGCACATCTATCTCAGAAAAACCAGTGGTGTTTACTTAGGGGCTCTAATTTAGAAGGTGTTTTAAGTAAAACTGATTACAATTTAACCAAGGCACTGCACATGTAAGACCTTAACATACAAATCTCTGAGATAAAAACATAGGGTTAGATCTTCATGACCTTCAATTTGTCAGTAGATTTTTAGATAATAACAACAGAAAATACAAAGATAAAATAAGATAAATAAATCTTCATCAAAATTTATACTTTTTGCTCCTGAGGACACTATCACAAAATTTAAAATACAATTTATCAAATGGTACAAAATAATTGCAAATCACAGATCTTTTAATGTCTTGTATCCTGAATATTTCACAAATTCCTACAACCGAAGAACAAAAAACTAAGAATACAAATAACACAGGGTCAATTCTCCCTTTCTGTACATCGATATTTGCTTTCTACGTTCAGATGTTTGCTGCAGAAATGTTTGCAAGAGAAAGACAGAAACATCGATGTGGTAGAGTATTTGTAAAGTTCCTCCCCAGTATATATTATTTTCTCATATACAATAAGGCATGAATGTCATTTAAAACCTTTGACAGCCCTGGCCAGTTTGGCTCAGCAGTTGAGCGTTGACCTGCGGACCAGCGAGTCCTGGGTTCGGTTTCCACTAGGGGCACGTACCACAAAAAATAAAATAAAAAATAAGAATAAAAGCTTTGAAACATGGTTTACATATGAAACGTTTCTCTCCACTATAATTTGTCTCCTGTCATGTAGGATATCAGTTATAAAAGTTTGGCCACATTTCCCACATGTGTAAGGATCCTGTCGAGAATGGGCTATTTGATGATTACTAAGATATAAATGGAAAAACAAAGTTTTTCCAAAATACTTAAATCCGTATACAGTATTTCTCCACTAGGAATTATCTAATGATGACTAAATTATGAAGAATGATAAAAGGCTTTGCCACATACTGTACATTTGTAACGAGCATTACAGTGAATTCTCTGAAGTTTAGTAACTTCTGAGGGGCCGATAAAGGCTTTGCTACATTTTCGACACTTGTAAGGCTTCTGTATAGAATGAAGCATGTGATGTCTGGTAATATTCCACTTCCAATGAGAGGCTTTAGCACATTCTGACATGTATGTCTCTCTCCAGTATGAACTGTGTCAAATACAATGACACATGAATTGTGTTTATAAGATTTGCTAAATTGCATATATTCCTAAGGCTTCTCTCCAGTATATGTTTTGTGTGCCGGTAAATGACTGTACCACAGTCTTTACATCTGTAAAATTTATCTCCGGTATGAACTTTTCTAATGTCCCAAACGTTTTGAACACTCCTTAAAGGCTCTGTCACATTATGTACATTCATAAGGATTATCTCCGCGATCAATTACCTGAGGTGCAGTAAGGTTTGAGAATGCCTAAAAGCCTTGCCACATTCTTTACCTTTGTACAGTTTCTCCATGCGAATTATCTGATGCTGATTAATGTCCAAGCAGCCCCTAAATGCTTTGTCTCATTTACCACGTTGGTAAGGTTTCTCTACAGTATGAATTCTCTGATGGCGATAAAGGTTTGAAGACCTCCCAAAGGCATTGCCACAATCTTTGCATTTATGAGGCTTCTCTCCAGTATGGATTGTCTGATGTAGATTAAGGTGTGAAGACCTCCCAAAGGATTTGCCACATTCTTTGCATTTATAAGGCTTCTCTCCAGTATGAATTTTCTGATGCCGATTGAGGTTTGAAGACCTCTTAAAGGCTTTGCCACATTCATTGCATTTATGAGTCTTCTCACCAATATGGATTGTCTGATGGCGATTAAGTTGTGAAGACCTCCCAAAGGCTTTGCCACATTCATTGCATTTATGAGGCTTCTCTCCACTATGAATTTTCTGATGGCGACTAAGGTTTGAAGACCTCCCAAAGGCTTTGCCACATTCATTGCATTTATGAGGCTTCTCTGCTGTATGAATTCTCTGATGTGCAGTAAGGTTTGAAGACTGGCTAAAGGCTTTGCCACATTCTTTACATTTGTACGGTTTCTCCTGCGTGTGAATGATCTGATGCTGATTAACGTATGAGGAGCACTGAAAAGCTCTGCCACATTTACCACATTGGTAAGGTTTCTCTCCAGTATGCATTTTCTGATGGCAATTAAGGAATGAAGACCTCACAAATGCTCTGCAACATTCACTGCATTTATGAGGGTTCTCTCCAGTATGAATTCTCTGATGTGCAGTAAGGAGTGAGGAATTCCTAAAGGCTTTGCCACACTGAACACAATGATAAGGCTTCTCTCCAGTATGAACTCTGTGATGTCTAATAAGGGTTGAGGAATGCCTAAAGGCTTTACCACATTTAATACATTTGTATGGTTTCTCCCCTGTGTGAATTCTCTGATGCTGATTAAGGTCTGAGGAGCACATAAAAGCTTTGCCACATTTACTACATTGGTAAGGCTTCTCCCCAGTATGGATTCTCCGATGGCGATGAAGGCTTGAAGAGTACCCAAAGGATTTGCAACATTCTTTACATTTATGAGGCTTCTCTCCAGTATGAATTTTATTATGGACATGAAGGTATGAGGACTCTCTAAAAGCTTTGCCACATTCTCTACATTTATACGGCTTCTCCCCCGTATGAGTTCTGTCATGTACACGAATATATCTAAAGGAATTAAATATTTTACCACATTTATGACATTTATAAAGCTTTTCTTTTATATGGCTTTCCGTAAGTCTATTTAGACTGAACACTGGAGTGAAGACTCTACTGAATGGATTACCTTGGTAAATTCTATCCCTGGTATGAATATGCTGCCATACAGTGTGATGTGAAGATTGCTGCAAAGATTTGTCACATTTACTTCGTTTGTTTGTCTTCTCCACTGTATGAATAACCTGATGTATATTTGGATTTGACGTTTTGTCAAAGAGTTTTCCATCCTTATAATGGTTCTCTGGAAGGTGAGTTTTCTGACATTTATTAGGATTTGTCTCTTGGTTAAAATTATTCCCATGTGCGTTGCATAGATAACTTCGATCTTCGTTATATATACTCTGGTATTCATTGAAGACAGAAAGGCCTTTAGTGACAGCTATAATTTCCTTAAACATGTACACTTATTCTCAAATAACGATTCTGTAACACCTATTAAACCATGATGGTGTATAAAAAACACACGTACGTTTAAGAAAATAACAGAAGTTTGTTTCAAAAAAAATTATTCCTCGATAGTAGTATAATGATTCCTTATTAAAGGAATTACTAAACTCATCACTTTGAAATTTCATATGTGCATTATAAATTACTGAGATGTAAATTATAAATTCAGAAATGACTGACTGAAAGTTTAATCCCACACAACACTGTAAACAATTATTATTCTTTGCAGCATCGATGATGTGAGTTCTAGCTTTTCTAGATTTCTGATGTAATAAATGACAATAACACATTTTTTTGGTTTTCACATTTAGAAACACACTGATCTGCAGATGTAACTGACCTAAACTGGGGGGTTCCCCAAATGTGTAGTATCTGTTATTTGTTTAGGTAACAAGGACTTTATTATAAAGAACACTCCCAGGTTACTTCTGTCCATATTATCACACCTTCTCATCGTACACTCTTCCTCAAATACCAAGGCTCTCACTAAGTGTACATTATAAAAGCCATACCTTCCATATCTTACCAGTATTATTTCAGGGAATAAATCTTCCAGTTTTGGCTTTTGCAAAGAAGCCTGGTTGTCCTCAGATAAAATAGCTGAAAGATATGAAATAAAGTTTCACATTCATAATACTAAGCTGATCAAAGTATCTCTCTCTCGCTGTCTAAAAAATCAATAAAAACATTAAAAATAAATGAACCAGCTCTACAGAAACTATTTGATTACATAAGAAAAACCAACAGGAATTATAGACATACCAAGAGGCAGAGGAAAGATAGAAAGGAATGGAGAGCCTATTCAAACAAGCAGTGGTGAGAACTTCCCAAACCTGCGGATAGAACTAGATGGTCAAATCCAAAAAGCAAATATAACACCTCATTATCTCAATACAAAGAGACCCTAGGAAAGGCACATTTTATTAACACTGTCAAAAGTTAAGACAAAGAAAAAATTCTCAAAGCAACCAGGGAAAAGGAAGTGACCCACAAAAGAAAATCCATCAGAATGTCATCAAACTTCTCAACAGAATCTCTATAAACCATAAAAGAATGGAAGCGAATATTCAAGTAACTGAAAAAGTTATATTATCAGCAAAGATTAAAATACCGAGCAAAGTTATCTTTGAAATATGAAGGAGAAATACTTTCCCAGATATACAGAAGCTGAGGAATTTTATCACCGGAAAACCTTCATTGCAGGAAATACTCAAGGGCGTTCTTTTACTTAAAACAAGAGCAGAAGTTCGTAACACTATTCGTAACGTCTCCAAAAACTGACAGCATAGATAGGGATAATTTGTGACAACATTAAAAACTTAAAAGTGGCAGGGAAAGGTCTGAACTGCCATAAAAGTTCGGAAATCAGCTGCACTCAAAAGAAATATCCCTGCCCTGGTCAGTTAGGCTCAAAGAGTCTGGGGTTCATTTCCGGTCAAGGGCACATACCTTGGTTGTGATTCATTCCCTACACTGGTAGGGGTTATGTGGGAGGCACCCACTAGTGTGTCCCTTTCATGTCCATGCCTCTCTCTCTCTCTTTCTCTCTCTCTCTCTCTCTCTCTCTCCCTCCTTCTCTCTCTCTCCCACTCTATCTGAATAAAAATGGAAAACTGTCCTCGGGTGAGGATAAAAAAATAAAATAAATAAAACAATGAAAACTAACAACACATTCAAGCAACACTAAACCACTGATAGAAAAGTCTCATCGATGTTTCTATCTCTCCCTCCCTCTACCTCTCTCTAAAGTCAATAAAGAAACAGTATTTTTTAAAGAATGACTTAAAATACAATTCCTCAGCAATGTGCCTGTAGAAGAAGCAGAGTCCAGAGGGATGTGGGTGCATTTCACATGCTGGGGAGCAGCTGTGTCTCTACAACAGCAGAAGACATAAACCTGGGCTCTCATAATGCTTCCAATGAAGCTCAGCTTCCCCAACCATACTGAAGGTCTGGCATCCTCCGTGACCTCTGGACATCTCATCACCTGTGTCACCTGCTTCCACATTCCCACCACCCTGGGTGAACAGATATTTTTTTTCGCTCTTCAAATCTCAAGGCTTGCCCTGGCCGGTTTGGCTCAGCGGTTGGAGCGTCGGCCTGTGGTCTGGAGAGACCTGGGTTCGGTTCCCGCTAAGGGCACGTACCTAGGTTGCAGTTTGTCCCCGGCCCTGGTTGGGTCGTGTGGGTGGCGACCACTCGATGTGTCCCTTTCACATCGATGTTTCTCTCTCTCTCTCCCCCTCCCACTGTATCTGAACAAAATATCGAAAAATATCCTCGGGTGAGGATAAAAAAAAAAAATCTCAAGGCTCTTTGTTTCTGAATATAGTTTTATATTATTTATTTATGAATGAGAGACAGAAACATGGATTTGATATTGCACTTATTCATGCGAACACTGGTTGCTTGTTGCATGTGCTCTGGCTGGGATCAAACCTGCAATCTTGGTGTATCTGGACAATGTTCTAACCAACTAAAGGCACCTCAGACATGGCCCAAATACTCTGAAATTTGCTCCAAAAAGATGACCAGGACTGGCTCAGAGACAGAAAGACGTATTTATCAGAAAATAGAATATGAGTTTTGATAGAGATGCTCGCATTTCCAGTGCAGTTTGTCCTCAGGTGACAAGACATGGTAGAATATTAGAATATTCTGGAAAATTATTTTCAAAATACTCTTTACTGATAGCATTATTCTAGACAACATGTAAATTTTAGACACTGAGTTCCTAACTCACATACATCACAAAGCCTTTCTTTCTACACTAGAAAACCACGAATTGGCTCCCTGAGAGCAAGGCTCTGAGAGTCTACTACACAAAGCAGAATCCCCCACAGGATGACAAAGTAATAAAGGAAACAAACCCAGGGGCTGGAGGAGGAGCTCTGGAACGAAGTCATCGTCACCCAGGGAAACCAGGTTCCTGTAGTTCTCCAACATCACATCCAGGTACAATGTCCGCTGAGCTGGGTCCAGGCATTCCCACTCCTCCTGAGAGAAGTCTACGGCCACATCCCTAAAGGACAACGGTCCCTGAAAGGAAACAGTGCAAGGAGAACTGGTTTTGACCTAGGAGAGTACCCAGAATCATCTATTAAGATGACTTTGACCCAGTAATATTCTCTAGTGGACTTTCTAACACTGTGGATATAAATGGAGATGACACGTGTCTACAAATCCACTGCGTAGACTTTATTTTTCAGGAAAATACACTGTGAAAGAATTTTCTGAAACATACAATGAAAAGTAAACCTTGAATTTCACTTCAAACTTCATCTACAATTTAAAAATATAAAACAAAAACAGGACAGTAAGAGTAAAGAATCCACTCAGCCACTGTGGCTCAGTGGTTGTGTGTTGATACCAAGCACCAAGAGGTCGCCAGTTCAATTCTCGGGCAAGGTTCATGCCCAGGTTTTGGGCCAGGACTCCAATGGGAGGTATGCCGGAGGCGGCCAGTCTATCTTCTCTCTCACTGATATTTCTCTCTCTCTCTAAAATCAATAAAATATATATATTGTTTTTAAATCATCACTAAGCAAAAAAAAGGCTCAAATAATGTTAAAATTTTATGCACACTCACAAGCGCACATATGAGAACTATGTACAATATTAAAGGGATACAAAACAGAATTTTCATCTCACTAAAAACAAGATAATTTTGCGATTCCATTAGTTTCCTGAATCTATAAGTGAATGATACTCTTGGTGTTTTATAGACACAGTAAGTAGAGGAACTCACATAATAATGAAAAAAATGCCAGACCAGTTATTTCTTAGTTGATCTTTTTTCTGAACATTTTTACATACTATTAGTGGAGGGATATTGTAGAAATTTACTTGAACATACAGTAAGAATACGATTTTTATAATCTTTCTACAAAAAGAAAGTGATAATGAGTGTAAAACATAATGAATTTACAGGAATAAGGAGTGATTGGTTAAAGCTCCCACATCAAAAGCCAATGATCTGTAGAAAATAAAAGAAGGGACTTTATGCCAGGCCAGTGTGACTGTGGTTGAGCGTTGACCCATGCACCAAGTGGTCACTGGTTTGATTCCCAGTCGGGCACTGCAAATCCCCAGTGGGGACATGCAGGAGGCAGCCAATCAATGTTGTCTCATTGATGTTTCTATCTCTGTTTCCCTTTCCCTTCCTCTCTCTTTAAAAATGAATAAAGAAAAAAAAAAAAAGTAGGGACTTTATATTCCAAAGGAAACAGAAACTAAGAGGGAAGTTTCCAGATGAAATGTGATGGTTTTTTCACATCTCTGATTAAATCCCTACTAGAAATTCTGTACTGATACAGGGAAACTGTTAGCTCTGTAATGCAGAGAGCACCACACACAGTGAGTATCAGGTGGGCTGGAGTGTGGATATCAGGTGACTGAGGCACAGGAAAGGAAATGTCCTCACTGATTTGCATCACTGGCCGAAAACATGACTAAGGAAAATTATTCTGTGAAAATGATCACAAGTAAACTTTGGCACATGTCAACCCACACATACCTCTTATATTCTGTATGCTAATAGTACATTTATTTACATTTACCTATTGTTAATCCACACCCAAGGATATTTTTTCCATTGATTTTTAGAGTGTGAAAGGGAGGGAGGACATAGCGGAGAGAGGGACACAGCCTCTGACCCACAACACATCTTTTACCTGAGAAGCAGCCATTTTGTCTTGGTCCTGCTCCAGCTCAGGGTTGTTTTCTCAGGTGACGTTATGTTCCAGTCATAGAACCTGCCTCCAAATGTGTCCACACAGCCCTTTAATCAGCTCACATCACCCATACTTCTGAGGCACATTTCCTTCCTCTTTTCTCAGGAAATACAGAGAACAAAAGATCTTCAATGCAAAAACCTTTGAAAAAAGTTAACTATTGAAATATACTGATCAAGTGACTTCACCTACTGAGGTGAATCTAGTCCACCCTTCAGTATATTCACAAAACGGCCCTGGTCGGTTTGTCTAGGTGGTTCGAGCGTCAGCCCCACAGATCAATGACTCACGGGTTCTACTGATTCCAGTCAAGGGCATGTACCTCAGTGGCAGTTCATCCCTGGCCCTGGTCTGTCATGCAGGAGGCAACCAGCCGATGTGTCCCTTTCACATCAATGTTTTTCTTTCTCTCTCTGTCCTTCCCTCCCACTCTATCTATTGATAAATGCAAAAGTATCCTGGAGTGAGGACTAAAATACACACACACACACACACATAATTTCAGAGAATAGACAACACGGACTTGAGGAGAACAGCTCCTCTGTGGCTCACAGTCACTAATTCAACAAATCCCATAAGGGGGAAAAAAAAGCTGCTGAACATTGGACCAACTCACAAAACTAGGTTCTGACTGCTAAAATCATTGACCACTTTACCAACTGCACATGGGAAATAGCCTAATACTGACTAGGTACAAAGGGAAGTTTTGACATATGATAAGCAATGGAAAGGATACAGAGCTCAGCATCTAATCTAGACACAATATATTCAAAATGATCAACATGCCTTACCAGTATAGCTCAGCAGTAAGAACTCTGCACACGGTCCAAGAGTCCGGGGTTCATTTCCAAAGAAGGGCACATACCTTGGTTGAGGTTTGTCCCTGGCCCCAGTTGGGGTTGTCAGGTGTCAATCAATTGATGTGTCTCTCTCCCATTGATGTGTCTCCCTCTCCTGCTCTATCTGAAGATTAATGTAAAAAATATCCTCGGGTACCCTGGCCGGTTTGGCTCAGTGGTTAAAGCATCGGCCCACGAACCGGAGAGTCCGGGGTTTGGTTCCCGCTAAGGGCACATACCTTCCTTGCAGTTTGTCCCTGGCCCTGGTTGGGGTTGTGTGGGTGGCAACCAGTCCATGTGTCTCTCTCATATCAATGTTTCTCTCTCTCTCTTACCCCCTCTCCTTCCCGCTCTGTCTGAAGATGAATGCAAAAAATGTCCTCAGTTGAGGTAAAAAAATATTTTTATATATCCTTGGGTGAAGCTTAAAAAACATATAAAAAGTAAAATACAATAAACAACAACTTGGGCTTTTGTTTTGCTAATCCTCACCTGAGGATATGTTTCCATTGATTTTTACATAGATTGGAAGGGAGGAAAGAAGAGAGGGAGAAAAACAGGAATGTGAGAGAGACACACAGATTAGTGGCCTCCCGCAGGGCCCTTAGCAGGGCCAGAGATGGAACCAGCAACATGCATATGAACCCTTGACTGGGAATCAAACCTGACACCAGTCTGGCCAGGGCAAGTGTTTGTTTTTTGTTTTCTAATTTTTTTTTTTTAATCTTCACCTAAGGACATTTTTGCATTTATCTTCAGACAGAGCAGGAGAGACACAGGCAGGAAGACAGAGAAACATTGATGTGAGAGAGACACATCCACTGGCTGCCACCCACAGGACCCCACCAGCGCCAGTGAAATTGCAACCCAGGTATGTGCCCTTAGCGGGATTCCAACCCGGGACTCTGTGGTCCGCGGGCCGACGCTCTAACGGCTGAGCTAAACTGGCCAGTTCAACGGGTGTTTTTTTTTAATGTAATGATTTCACATTAAAGTTTTAAAAAGTTGAGATTACCTTTTATTTAGAAAAAAGTGATGAGCTGGTTGGTTATTGGATGTCACAAATGCTTATTTCATAAGTTAAGGGCTGTGTACAGAAATCAAATACTTAACACACTAGGATTTATATAACTATGTATTTAAAAACTGAATTAAAGATCAGAGGCTAAACAGAAAGTCAATCCATGGGACAGAATAAAAGCAACAGGCAGCCTATGGATGTTTCTCTATCCCATCAATGTTTCCATTTTCCCCCATCTGTCTAAAAACTCAATGAAAAACATATTAAAAACATAAAAATAAAAAATAAAGACTCGAGCACATATATCACAACTTAATCACACCCCAGCAGCTCAGCAGTCACCCAGATCCAGTCCCGGGCTCCCAGCTCCTGTGTGTTTCTGTCTGCAGATCTGTCGGCCTCCCTGTTCCCCTCTCTGCACTGCTGTCCTTTCCTGTTCCCCTCCCCGTCCCCGGCTCCTTCTCCCCTTTTCTCTATTCCTGTCCCTGCACCTGCCCCGCACACTCTGCAAACCTCTCCGCCGTCAGGGGCTCCCCGCCTCTTTCTGAGACCCCTGCCCGGCCCGTGCCCTGTGCCCGTCCTGCCCGTCCCCACAGCGGGCTGCCTCTCAGCGCTGTGTCTCCCTCGGCCCGTCACCCCTGAACCCCTTTCCGTCCCTGCACTCGCTCCCCAACTCTTCCCCTCAGGACCACGCTCTCCGTCCTCGGGGGCCGTCCTGTCGCCCCCACTTCGGCTCCCCAGGCCGCTCCCGACAGCCCTGGGCTCCCCTCGGGGTGCCCTCTCCCCGGAGAGTCTCACTGTCCCCCGCTCCTCCCCGGGGCCTCTCCCACCCCGTCCGCTCTCGGCCTCAGGACCGTCCCCCACGTGCCGTCTGTCCGTCCGGCTCCCGCCCCTCCGCAGCCGCCGCCGCCACAGCGCGCTCCCCGCGGCGGGACCTCTCCGGGGGCCGCGTCTCCCGGCTCAGTCCCCCCAGGGCGCCCGCGCTGTCCGGGCACCGACACCCCTCGTGCGGCGGGAAGCGGGCTCGGGAAGGCGGGGTGCGGACCCCAGGCCGGGAGCCGTGCGAGTCTCGGGGCCGAAAGCGGTGAGGCGGGGGGGGGGGGGGCGCAGGGGGTCGCTCACCCGGACCGGGAGCCGCGGGGCCCGGCGGCCAGGGGACGTTTCCAGCAGGAGAACCGCGGGCAGGCGGCGCCCAACGGCCGGAGGCGGAGGCACCACCGCGGACGCGGCTCCGTTTCCGAGGAGACGGACTGGAGCCTCCACGGAGCAGCGTCCCGCGTGGACTCGGACCCCCGCCGGGAGAGGCTCGGGAGCGGGTCCAACCAGGACTCGCCGCCGGCAGCGCCCCCGCCTTCCCCGCGCAGGGAGAGGACGGAGGAAGACGCTTCACCTCAGAAAGGACCTGCGACCAGCGCGGCTCCACGGCCGCTTCCGCCTCAGCAGGGGACTGCGCATGCTCATCCCGGCGATGGGTGGGCGGGGCCAGAGCCGGTGATCTAGCTTTCGGGATGGGGGTTGGGCCGGGATAAGTGGCCTGGGCTAGGCAGAGACCGTGAATGGAGGGAAGGGGCTGAAGCCTCGGTGCGGTCCTGGTTTCCTCCCCCTCAGTAGCACCGGTGATAGAAATTACCTGCTTACTACGTTTAAGTTACCCACAGCGTCACTCCTAAATTTGTAATTTGCTTTCCAAAATTAATATTATGGGGATCCTGCAAGCATTCAAGGTGGAGTAAGACCTTTGCCACACACACTGACATATTTAAGATGTTTCTGATGTGTATAGACTGCTGTTTTTACTGATTGACTTCTTTTGTAATGTTTAACTCTCGGTTAATTATTCTATTTTAACATCTTCCTGTGAAGGTAAGAAACATTCAAACCTATAGAAATTTTTTGTGAGTTTATTTCAACCAAACTGACAATTGACAGGAAGCAAAAGTTTAAGGTATTGAGATAATATTACAGGGTATAGCAGTTTCCCCACTTATGTTATATAATTTAAAGAGTAGGAGCAAGTGGGTTAGATGAAATCCATTGGTGATAGATTAGGGCAATGGAAGAAAACAGGAAAACCTCTGGGACTCTATTCAAAATGAAATGATAGACACATACATCTTTTATATAGGTGGGTACAGGCTTGTTAAGTCAATTCACAAAATAACAATGAGATTTATGGTCCCCCCCCCCCCCCCCAGTATTGGTTGTGCCCAGGTGCTCTGGTTGTTAAAATGAGGGTTCTGGAAAAAGGGGCGTTACCCTGACTTTCCAAAAGAATGTAATATTATGCTATAGCGAGCCTGCAAGAAAACTGATAACACCACGACTGAATTAGAACAAATAGGAGCGTTTATTCACCAGTGGTCTGCAGGGGCAGACATTACCCAAATCAGCAGCCATGATTGTTCTTGCTAGTTGGCTTTTAAAAACAGAAGCCACATGCCCTTTTGTTTCCCGCTCAGTGAACTGGTAGAGTAGTGGTTGCAAAAGCGGTTGTTACAGAAGACAAGATAAACTGTTAGTCACTGGGCTCATGATTTTCAGTTCCTATTGCTCAGAAACCGTCAAGGTGTGTTTATGCAAGATACATCCTGTTCCTGTAGGTCAACCATAACCTTAGGCAAAGCTCCTTTACTTCTAGGGGTAATCGTCCTATTATGGAAAATACTGAGGAAGGTCCTGCTGATAAAAATGGACTCTTTTAGTCGCCTTAGCCAAGGGACTAGATAAAAATGGAGTCGCTTAGTTGCCTTAGGAAGGGGCCTAGCTCAATTAGATGCAAAAGATAACAGGTTTATTTATGATAAATACTGGCTTTTGTCATGGAAGATCCTAGCCAAGGTCCTGACTACCTGCCACCCAGTAAGTTTTAGTTACAAAGCTTTTAATTTCAGACCATCCTTTGAGATTACTTTAGGTCTCTGAGTTTGCCAGGCTGCCACCCAGACTTTCCCTGAGTTTACATTAGCATATGGCCTCTTTTCATCTATAAATCCCGCTTTTGGTCATAAATCAATCCAAAAAATGTGTTCATTTTCTGGGAGGTGAGAATTTTTTTTATTATTTTTTTAATCTTTATTGTAGAATGCATTACAGATGTTCCTCATTTCCCTCCCATTGACCCTCTCCTCCTCACTCCCGCTCCCTCCCGCCTTTTCCCACACTGTTGTCTGTGTCCATTGGTTATGCATATAAGTTCTTTGGTTTATTTCTTCCCACCCCACAATCCCCTTCTCTTTGAGGTTTGTCAATCTAGCAACCAGTATGAGCCAGGTTGCTAGAGTCCCAGATATGGCGCCTGTCTGCTGCCCCAGGGAAGGGCTCACCAAAGGAACAAAGGCCTCTGACAGCACGTTTGTCCCAGAGAAAACCCCCTTTCCAGCCCTCACTCCAGTGCCAAACAGCTCAGTTCTTCCCTGTATGTCTCTGGAACCCCTGGAGCTGCCTCCCCTCCAAGCTTAGAGGGAAAGAGTTCAAGTAAGTCCGTGCACGGGCCCTTTAAGGAGCTGCCTAGGGCTCCAGCAGCTTCAGCCTCCCTGAGCCTCAGTTCCTGCTGGTTTTTCCAGCCATAAGTTACATTATGGGAACTTCTCTTCCTGGCACTGGAACCCTGAGCGGGGGTGTCTGGTGTGGAACATGGACCCCTCAGTCCTCAGAGAGGACCTTCCCAGGCATGGTGTCCTGATTTTTGTCCGCCACACATGGGACCAGCCCCTCCGCCCTCCTCCCAGTCTCGATGCGGCTGTTTCTTTAATTCTGTAGCTGTAGGACTTCCATTCAGTTCGATGTCAGGTGGTTTTGAATGATGATTGTTCTGTAGTTTTGTAACTTTGATGTGGTTGTGGGAGGACGTGATACTGAGTTTACCTATGCCACCATCTCGACCGGAAATCAGTTAATGCCATTTTAAAATGTATTAATACAATCATAGTAGATCTTCCAGACAGGAAATCAATAAGGGAAAAGTGGTCTTAAATTCCACATTAGACAAGAAAAATTTGATATATTACAGTGATATTCAGTTAGAGTGTCACATCAGCAAACTGGTGAGCCACAAGAACCTTAAAAACATATAGTATTGATTACCTAGTCAGTAGCACAGACTTATCCCATAGATTAACAAATTAAAAAATGACAACGGCCAACTCAACAATAGCTCCCTGCTGTCAATGAATGTTATACCTAATTTTTGATCCACTGAGAACATGTTTTGATGTACCCGTGAATTTCAGTAGTTTATGTGCACCTTGAGATAAAAAAGTTGAAAACCACTTATTTAGAGCTTTTAACCCCACAGCAGAATAATATTCATTCTAGAGAAAATGAAGACAGAATGACCTCTAAACACAGGAATAATGTCAGCTTCATTTATGTCCATACTATCCCCATGAAAAAGAAAAATTATCTTAAGTATATTTTGCATCAGTATACCTCCTCCATTCCCCTCACTACAGAACCAGAAAATTAAACTAGGATTGAATTCCTATGAATAATCTGGATCCAATACTTGGTCTTGTAACAGAATAAAAACATAGACACTGGTCCAAGCAATGGGTCCTGGTCAGAAAATACCAGAAGATGCATATACATATGAATGCTACATACAGTGAGTCCATACGTATGTCAGAAAGTAGAATAGAACATTTTCTTTATTAATTTTCAGAGAGAGAGGAAAGGAGAGGGAGAGGCAGAAACATTGATGAGACAGAACTTCCATTGCCAGCTCCTGCATGCCTCCCACTGGGGATTTGGCCCACAACCTAGGGCATGTTCCCTGACCCCTGACTGGGAACAAAACTGGCGGACTCTTGGTGCATGGGTCAATGCTCAACCACAGAGCCACAACGTCCAGGCCATTTTCTTTTTCTTTTTGGTACGTGCCCCTAGCGGAAACTGAACCCGGGACTGAACGCTCCAACCGCTGAGCCAAACCGGCCAGGGCAAGTCATGACTTTATTAAAATCCTCACTTCAGTATGTTTATAGAGTTTAGACAGTAAAGTGGAGATCGAGAGAGTGTAAAAAAAAGATGGATAGACGGAAAACATTAATGTGAGAAACACTGATAAGTTCCCTGACATATGTACATTGAATGCCCAACCTTGGTAGGTGCCCTGAACGAGACTTGAACCTGTAACCTTTTGCTTAAGGCAAGACACTCTAACAACTCAGACACACTGGCCTAGGAAATCATTACATATATTTAAATTACTTATTTTGGCATATTATTTCCCTGTACTTTAAAAAATATGTGTATACATACTCACACGTGTTCTCCATCCTCTCATTCCTCTGTTACACCTTTAGGTAATTATATGGACATGGATTTTTGTGGATCACATCATGTAAATTTGTTTAGGTAGGCTCAGGAGAAAATATGCACCAAAAATATATATAGGCTCAAAAAGTTAAACGAACTTCCTCATTATACTTGTTTGGATTTTTTATAATTAACATTTGTTAACAGAGCACCTGGTATCAGATGGGGAGCACAACGGATACTGAATCAGACATGTTTATAACTCACAGGTACTCAGGAAAGGAGAGAGGCTCCACGTGGAGCTGAAGGCAATGCGGGGCAGCCAGTAGCAGGACCCAGGAAACGTGCTTTTATTAAGTGACATGAGCCAAGTGCTTGGCAATTCTAGAGATAAGTTTAGATTGTTAAATTTAAACCAAAGGAAGGGTTTGGTAAGATATGCAGAGATCTTATCTAAGGGCCACACATGGTGAATGCTCTCAATTGCCCCAGAAACTCTTGCTTATAGAGGCTGTGAAAGAGTTATGTCAGGCCCTGGCCGATTTGGCTCAGCGGTTAGAGCGTTGGCCTGCGGTCCTGAGAGACCCGGGTTCGGTTCCGCCAAGGGCGCGTACCTCGGTTGCAGTTTGTCCCCGGCCCTGGTCGGTCGTGCGGGTGGCAGCCACTCGATGTGTTCCTTTCACATCGATGTTTCTCTCTCTCTCTCTCTCTGTTCCTCTCTCTCCCTCCCACTCTACCTGAACAAAAAATGGAAAAAATGTCCTCTGGTGAGGATAAAAAAAAAAAAAAAAGAGTTATGTCAGGAACTTACACTGACTTCTGACTCTGTGAACCAGTGCCTAGTGTGTGACAGAGGGAGAGGACAGTGTCAGTTGAATTATCCTAGTGATACAAAATGAATGCCGCGGTCCCAATATCATGACATAATTTAGCTCAACTCTCAAAACACTCATGTCATATTTGTTGTAACTATCATAAAATCCTAGTATGTACAAGAAAATGAAAAATATATCAATAAATGCAGTGCATCACCAAATAGGGTATTGTTCCCTACATCCTTGAATAAGGTTGGATTCATGAACACATTAAAACTCACTCAGGTTTATTAATGAAAATATTGAGTTCACACATAGCCTAATAAGTTATGAAAAATAACAGTGTAACCATTTGTCAAACTGCACATTACAAACATTTAGGAAGCTTACACTTCTTCTGATAATATAACCACTGTGCTTCCTTTGGGCTTCAGAATGGAGGTTAATCATTTAGAAAATATGGCTTAGGGATGAGTTGTCTACATTTTCTCAGATATCCCTCATCACTTTTTATTTCAGCCACATCCATTACCGTTCATCACTTATACCTATGGCTACTATAAAGATACATCAGAATTTTAATGAACTCAGACCATATTTTCCTTAGAGTAATTGGTAAATGTAGAAAAAAATTTATAATGCTCTTCATGGCAATATACAACATTCTAATTCAACCACAAACAGACTCTCCATTTAGATTGTCTTCATACAGTGTGCCTTACAATGTACACACAGTCCATGGAAAAGGATACATAAGTGAAACCCATGTAATAGACATGAGCTCACAGATTTTAAGGCAGCAACAATCAAGCCCATGATTTCACACATATACCAGAAGTCACAGTAGCATCAAGAGATGGGAACAGAATGAAATTATTTCCTTTTGAAAATATCTACAATAGTGTCAATATAAAATAGGTAACACTGGAAGGAATGGTACATATGAAAATATCCATTCTTTTTATATATTGAAGCATACTAAAATTCACTTCACTTAAACAGTGTTCTTATTTACAGCAATATGGAATATTATTTGTGACTATCAAGCTAGTGAGAAAATCAGTGATATTTAAAAATTCATATTCAATTACATACATTGGTAAATTTTGATGTCTTTAAAGTCAATCAAAGGCATACATTTGTTGGATTTTTGTGAAGTGTATATTTTGAAGAACAATCTTTCCTTCTACATAATTACAATCCCTGATATTGACTGAGGCTTTAGATCCAGCTATATAATTTGCCACATCTTCAGTTTTAAGGTTTTCCTCTAGTATAAATTCTAATGTGAGGAATAAGCTATTAATGCTGAATAAAGTATTTTCGATCTTGTTTACATGTGTATTGTTCCTCTCCAATATGAAATCTGATATGGAGGATGGTTTGTGTACCAAGAAAAGCTGTTGTGCCTCACTAGTTATATTTCCAGGGTGTCTATCAAGTAATAATTTAAAAATATTGAGTAAGATATATAAATGAGGGTATTCCTTAGGCACACGTGTTACAATTTCTAAGGCTTAACTTTAACATGCTTAATGAAGCTTGAACAATGGTTAAATCTTTGGCCAAATTCTTTTTTTCTAAATATGTTTTTATTGAATTTTTTAGAGACAGGAAGGGAGACAGAGATAAAGATCTTAATGTGAGAGAGAAACATTGATCAGCTGCCTCTTGCACACCCCATATTGGGGATGAAGTCTGCAAGCCAGGTATGTTACCCAATCTGGAATGGAACCAGGAACTCTCAGCCGATGAAATGACACTCAATTCACTGAGCCATGCTGGATGAGCTCACAGAATCCTTACATTTTTACTGTTTTCTTTGGAATGATTCCTCCAAAGTTGAGTAAGTTTGAGCACAAGTGAAAGGCTGTGCTACATTCCCTAGTTTCATAATGTTTCTCTTCAGTAAGAATGCTCATGTTCAATAACGTCTTCCCTCCACTATGAATTATGTTGTATTGAGTAAGACACCAGTGATAATTACAGGATTACCTCATCCTTTTCATTTGAAAGGCATGCTTTCAGATACAATGATCTGATGTTAAATAAGATCCCACTGCAAAGAAAAGAATTTACCACACTCCTATTTTTAGGGTTTGTCTACAGTAGGAAAGCTCTGATATTCAGTAAAATTAAACACTGATTAAAGGCTTTCTCACCCTTTCTACCTTTGTAAGGCTTTCCTCCACTATGAATACTATTACACTGAGTATGTGTTAAGTGGTGCACAAAGGCTCTACCACAGTCTCTAAGTCAGTAGGATATCTTTTAAGTGTCAACTCTCTCACGTAGGGTAACATAAAAATGGCTTTCAACGGCTTTTCTAACTTACTCATATTCATTAGTCTCCTTCCAAGTATGATTTCTGTGATGAATGTGTTCTCAGTGCTGGTAAAGAAATTATTTGATAGGCAGTAGTTTTGAGGACCAGCTTTGCTTAATTATGAACATACATAAGGTTTCTCCCCTGTATCAATTCTCTAATGATAAGGGCAGGGGATTCGTGAAAGCCTTTGCCACATTTTATAAACTTGTAAGGTGTCTCTAAGTATAAATTCTATGATGGACTATAAGGTATGAGGATCAGCTAAAGGCTTCACCACATGCTCTACATTTATAAGGCTTTTTGCCATCATGAATTCTCTGATGGATAGTGAGATCAAAGGACGTGCTGAAGGCTTTGCCATGTTCTCCACATTTATAAGGCTTCTCTGCAGTATTAGTTCTCTCCGGTTGAGTAAGGCCTGTGGGCTGTGTAATTACTTTGCCACACTCTCTACATTTGAATGGTTTCTCTGAAACATGAACTCTCTGATGTCGAATAAGATTTGAAAGGTAGATAAAGGATTTGCCACATTGCAAACAGTGATAAGACTTGTCCCCAGTATGAATTCTCCGGTGCTGAGTAAGACCTGAGGACTGGCTAAAGGCTTTGCCACATTCTCTACATCTGTATGGTTTCTCTCCAGTATGCACTCTCTGATGTCGAGTGAGATTTGAATGGAAGACGAAGGCTTTGCCACATTCGGAACATTTATAAGCCTTCTCTCCAGTATGAATTCTCTCATGTCCAGTAAGTGTTGAGGCCTGACTAAATGCTTTGCCACATTTTCTACATTTATAAGGCTTCTCTCCAGTGTGAAGTCTCTGATGGAGAGTACGGTTTGAGGAGTGGAGGAATGTTTTGCCACATTCTCTACATTTATAAGGCTTCTCTCCAGTATGAACTCTCTGATGCTTAATAAAGTTTGAGGACTGGCTAAAACCTTTACCACATTCTCTACATTTATAAGGTTTCTCTCCAGTATGAACCCTCTGATGGTAAGTAAGGGCAGAGGACTCACTGAAGGATTTGCCACATTCTACACATTTGTAACGTAATTCTCCAGTATGAATTTTATGATGGATAGTAAGTTTTGAGGCCCGGCTAAAGGCTTTGCCACATTCTCCACATTTATAAGGCTTCTCTCCAGTATGAATTCTTTGATGAATAGTAAGCTTTGAGGGCTTGATGAAGGCTTTTCCACATTCTCTACATTTATAAGGCTTCTCTCCAGTATGAATTCTCTGATGCTCACTGAGGGTTGAGGACCGGCTAAAGGCTTTACAACATTCTCTACATTTATAAGGTTTTTCTCCAGTATGAACTCTTTGATGCTTAGTTAGGTCTGAGGATTGGATAAAGGCTTTGCCACATTCTATACATTTGTAAGGTTTCTCTCCAGTATGAATTTTTTCATGTACAGTAAGGGTTGAGGACCGACTAAATGCTTTGCCACATTCTCTACATTTATAAGGCTTCTCTTCAGTATGAAGTCTCTGATGTTGAATAAGGTCTGAGGACTGGCTAAAGGCTTTGCCACATTCCCTACATTTGTATGGTTTCTCTCCAGTATGAACTCTTTGATGTCGAGTAAGATTAGAATGGCAGACAAAGGCTTTGTCACATTCTGAACATTTATAAGACTTCTCTGCAGTAGGAATTCTCTCATGTTGAGTATGTTTTGAGTACTGACTAAAGCTTTTTCCACTTTTAGTGCATTTGTAAAGTTTTGCCCTGGTATGAAATCCTCTCTCATGTACAGTCAGACTTGAATACCACTTAAAGGCTTTGCCACATGGTTCACATTTGTAAGGTGATTCTCCAGTATGAAGTCTCTGATTTAGCATAAAACCTGGATACCAATTAGATGTTTTATCATCATACTTACATTTATGAGGTTTTTCTCCAGTATCAAATTGTTTTAGCCTATTTAGATTAAATATTGAACTGATAACTCTCCCACAGAAATTCCATTTGAAAGCCTTTTCCCTGGTATAAATATTCTCTTGCTCAGTGTCACTTAATGATAAATTAAACGGTTTGATACATTTACTTTGTTTTTTTGTCTTCACAATACGAATAACCTGATGTATATTGTGATCTGATATTTGGTCAAAGACTTTTCCATAACTATAAGGGTTCTCGAGAACCTGAGTTCTCTCATATTTAGTAGAACGTGACTTTCGGTTGAAGTTTTTCCAATGTTCATTGATTTGATAAGGTCTATCTCCGTTGTGTGTTCTCTGGTAATCGTGGAAGATAAAAAGGCCTTTAGTGACAGCTATAATTATATTAAACAAACATACTTATTTCATAATAATTTGTGATACTTATTAAACTACAATATTTGTATATAAAAATGATCCCGTTTCAGACAAAATATTTTTTAAAAAAACATTAATTTTCAAAGAGAAATAAGTGATTACTTCTTGAAAACACTGCCAAACTGACCACATTTAAATTTTATCAGTGTATTTTAAATCTCTAAATTTTATTAGTAACTGAATGAAAGTTTAATCCCACTGAACATTTTAAACTCAAATAACTATTCACTTCACAGATTATGTGAGTTACTAGTTTTCCACATTTCCAAGAATATACAACAGCAAAAAAATTGTTTTTGATCCTCACATGTACAGTACACTGACTTGCAAATGTCACTGACTTTAAAGTGAGTTTTCCCAAATATATGTATCTTTGACCTCTTTGGGGTACAAGAGTTTAATTATGAATAATTGTCCCAGGTCAGTACTATGTGCATGTACATCCTTTCTTCTCATCCCACTCTACTTACAACTCCAAGGCTTTCATTCAGTATGCATTACCAAAGCCACACTGTCCCTAACTTACCAGTATTATTTCAGACAACTTATCTTGTATTCCCAGCTTTTCTAGTAAGGCCTGGTTGTCTTCAGATGACATGGCTGAAAAAAAATAAAAGTTCACAAGATTGGCACTCAGGTAGAAGTTCCTTGAACTTTCGAGCAATGAATGACAAAATAACATTTTTGCCGACCGCAAAAGCAAGTGAATAGTTCAAAGAAAGCTTGAGAGCTGCAATGAGAAAAAGCAACATCCAAGAGGGACAACAGGTGCTTACATTTGCAAACAATGCCTGCTGAGAGCCCTGGGACAGAATGGCAGTCTTATAACACAACTCCTAATTCCCAGTGTCTCCTCTGGAGACATAGAGATGAGGGTACTGTATGTTCCATGATCTCGCTGTTTAGAAGCGCGATGACAACGTGTTTCTGTTATGCACGGGAGTGCTAAAGGAATGGATGCACTGTAGTGGCTACTACAAAGAAACAATGAGAAACTGTTCAAACACTGCAGACTGCAGTACTGCAGACATGTGTAGAGGAGGAAATGATACCATGGCTCTGAGAAAGAAACAGAAGATTTTAAACTGGGAAATTAAGAAAGAATATATGTTCGTTTGTTTTTATCCTCACCCGAGGATACTTTTCCATTTTTTGTACAGATAGAGTGGGAGGGAGAGAGAGGAAGGGAGAGAGAGAGAGAAATATCGACGTGAAGGGACACATCGAGTGGCTGCCACCCGCACAACCGACCAGGGCCGGGGACAAACTGCAGCCGAGGTACATGCCCTTAGCGGGAAGCGAACCTGGGTCTCTCCGGACCGCAGGCTGACGCTCTAACCGCTGAGCCAAACTGGCCAGGGCAACAGTCACTGTTTTGTTAACCGTGCATTTGCATAGATGCTACATCTTCTGAAAGGTCCATGGAAAGGACTGTGTCTTATCTTACATATCTCTGAGAATAAATGTTCAGATAATCTCTTTGAACTGGATGGACATTACTAGACTCCTGGGGAACATCTGAATTTATAGAAGTACTAGAAGAAAAATATCAGGAGAAACAAAATTCGATTATGGGACTGAATGAACTGAAAATAACTACAGTTTTTCAAGTTTTCTCATTATTGCTGATTTTTAATTTTTTTTTCAGACATAAGGAAATGTGTTTCTTTTCTCAAAGCAATTTGGTAAACTATACTTTCTTAAGCAATATTGAGGCATTTATTTTTTTCTCCCTACCTGATCCCTCCGGAATTTGGAAGCTCTTAATGAATATTATTACACTTATGTCAATATGTTTATTTGCATGAACCCAACAGGAATCTGATTTTTTCATACCAGGACACAAAAAGCCAGTTTCCAATTGTGGTTTCATTAACCAAGACTTTGACTACAATGTCATGTCTGACAGAAACATTCCAGGACTCTGGATGTCACCAGAAAGCTGTAAGGAATGAAGATCGACTTTGCAGCCGTAAACGCCCCTTGGAGATATGGACTGGTACTTTGCTCGGCCACGTGATTCATGGTAATCCCTTAGGTAAGGACCAAAGGTTACTTTCCTGAAAGATGGAGAAAAGGAAATTCAGCATCTTTGAGAACCTGAAGTACCTGAGGACATGGCCCAAATCTACAAACAGCTCAAGCACTGCCTGATGGCTACTGTGGCAACCATTAACTTGCTCACTAGGGCTAGATCTAAAGATTCCTTATGAATAACATTTCAGCAAAGTAAAACTGGAGAAAGCCTATGCAATCAATTTGATCTATTGATACTCTTCTGTATTTGCAAATAAACAAGCCAGGCTAGAACTAGACTTAATACAATCTGTTTACAGGAGGGTGCTCTTAGGGAAGAGAAACAAATTATGTCTCATTAAAACTATAGTACCATGCCCTGGCCAGTTTGGCTCAGCAGTTAGAGTTGGCCCACTGACCAGAGAGATCCGGGTTTGGTTCCCGCTAAGTGCACGTACATCGGTTGCAGTTTGTCCCCGGCCCCGGTTGGGATTGTGTGGGTTGCAACCAGTCGATGTGTCTCTCTCACATCGATGTTTCTCTCTCTCTTCACCCCTCTCTCCCTCCTGCTCTATCTTAAGATAGATGCAAAAATATGTCCTCGGGTGAGGATAAGAAAAAAAACAAACAAAAAAAACCCTGGCCAGTGTGGGTCAGCTGGTTGAGCATAGTCCTATGTATAGGAAGGTGGCCAGTTTGATTCCTGGTCAAGACCACATTCCCAGGTTTGGGGCATGAAGGTGGCAGCCGATAGATGTTGCTCATCACATCAATGTAACTCTCTCTCCCTTCGTCCCTTTAAAAATCAATAAAGTCTTCTTTTTAATAAAAAGGGGAAAAAATATATATATCAGTAATATAAATAATAAATGGATATAAAACAAATAGAAATCTAACTACTGCAAAAGCTGGATCCACCTAGACTGTATTATGCAAAGTGAAATAAGTCAGTCAGAAGAATATATATACCATGTGATTTCACTTATATATGGAACGCACAGAATAACAGAGATGACCAAACAAAACAGAAACAGACACAGATACAGGAAAGAGATTTGGAGTTCCCAGACCTGAGGCCTGTTGAAGGACGGGCTGCCAACAGGGAAGGAACTGAGGAACACAGGTGGCAGTCACAGATAGTCACTGGGATATGAAGTACAGCCCAGGAAATACAGTAAATGATGTAGTAATGACTATGTATGGTGCCGGCTGGGTACTGGAAATATCAGAGCGAATGCTGTGTAAAGTAGATGATCGTGCAACTGCTCCTCTGTACACATGAAACTAACACAGAATAATAATACTGAATGAAAAAAAAAGAAACGGCAGGCCCAAGTCCTCCTTCATTTGCTGCAAAAGGATGACCAAGACTGGCTTACAGACAGCAAGACCTAGATATCACAAAATGGATCATGAGTTTTCATTGAGATTCTCCTATTTCCAGACAAGTTTGTGCTCAGGGGAGAAGATATGGAAGCATATTGAAATAGTCTAGAAATAACTATCTAAAATACTATTTCCTGATAGCACCTCAATTATTCTAAAGAACATGTAAATTTGCAGACACCAAGTTCCCAATTCACACACATCACAAAGCTTTTCTTTTCGACATCAGAAAACTCCCAATGTGTTCCTTGAGAGCAAGACTCTGACAGTCTACCACACAAAGCAGAAGCTGCCAAAAGATGTTAAAGTAATAAAGGAAACAAACCCTCCGGCTGCAGGAGGAGCTCTGGAAGGAAGTCATCCTCACCCAGGGAGACCAGGTTCCTGTAGTTCTCCAACATCACATCCAGGTACAATGTCCGCTGAGCTGGGTCCAGGCATTCCCACTCCTCCTGAGAGAAGTCTACGGCCACATCCCTGAAGGACAATGGTCCCTGAAAGAAAAGACACATTCACCAAGGCACAGCAAGCAGAGTTCACAATGTCATCCAACAGTGTTAGAAGTGTTCTGCTCTAGGAGAGTATCCTGAATCATCCAATCAGATCATTTTGACCTAAAATATTTTCTAGTGTATTTTCTAACACTGAGAAATCAGGAGGACACATGTACACAACTCTACTGCAGAGTTTACTTTTCAGGACAATAAACTTTAAAATTAAGGCACTGACACAGGTGTATAGATTTTCAGTGCTCTATTGGTACCAGTGAGGGTCAGTTGTGTATATTTCTCAGCTGGAAATGTCATAGTGAGTTGGAAGTGTAAGTATTTCTTTAAGTGTTACCCAGACAATAACAAACTGCACTTTTCTAAAAATACAGGTTCTGATTCAGGAGTTCAGAGCTGGGCATGTGTTTCCATATGTGTAACAATCTCAGATTTTACTTGTGATGCCAATGTCTCCAGTCCATGTGCCATCCTTTTGAATAGCACAGAAACAGAAAACACAGAAAAATATTCACACATAAGTTTGCACTGAAGGAGTTTTGTTTTGTTTTTAATTTTTTTCTTCTTTGATTTTAGAGAGAGAAGTAGGGAGAGGGAGAGAGAGACAGAAACATCGATAAGAAAGAACATCAACTGGAGGCCTCCTGCATGTCCCTACTTGGGATTTGGCCCACAACCTGGGCACATGCCCTGATCAAAAACTGATCCCATGACCTCTTGGTGCATGGGTCAACCCTCAACCACTAAGACACACCAGCTGGGCTGAAGGCACTTTTTAAACTAAAATTCACAGTTCTCATACAATAGGGCATGGAAAACCACTATTCTATTGGAACATTTACAAGAAGTAATCTGTCAAGATTATTCTGCTTCTGATAGGAGAATATTTTGTGAAACATTTAGTAAAGTTTCAACCCAAACTTTACAATTTTTTTTTGAAAAAGCACACACACAGCCCTGGCCAATTTGGTTTAGCGGTTAGAGGATCAGCCCATGGACCAAAGAGTTGCTGGTTTGATTCTGGTCAAGGGCATGTGGCTCCATTGGAGTTCAATCGTGGTTGGGGTTGTGCTGGAGGCAACCAGTCTATGTGTCTCTCTCACATACCTATTTCTCCCTCAGAGGAGTTAAAAAATAAACAAACACAGCCACAAACGAGGCCAATACGCATAAATAAACCTGATGTATATTCATAGCAGTTTCTGTAACTGAGAGGAATAACAAAATATCTTAAACAAGAAAAATACCTCAAGTAATGGTAAAATTTTACCCACACACAAAGACAGACAGACATGAGAACTAAGTACAATATAAAAAGAAAGGAAACCAAATTTTCATGTCACTGAAATCAAGATTATTTTGTTTCCATAAACCTCATGAATCTATAAGTGAATGAAAGCCTTTGTGTTTTATAAACACAGTAAAGAGAGGAACTCACATAACAATAGAAAACAAGTTAGAGCTACTGTGTGTCGTTCATTTATTTGACAATTTTCGTTATCATCAGTGGAAAGCTGCAATGCAGAAATTTAACTGAACTGAACAGATATTAATGATGACTCTTGTAAAGTTTCTAGAAAATACAAAAAGTGATCGTGAAGAGTATGCCCCTGACATGAGTGTAGAATATAATGAAAATTTACAGGAACAAGGACTGGTTGATTAAAGCTCCCACATAAAAGCCAATGAATGACCTATAGGAAATATAAGGAAGTCGTCATTTCCCAAAGGAAACAGAAACTAAACAGAGGGAAGTTTCCAGATGAAATGTAATGGTTTTTTCACCTCCTTCATTAAATCCCTTCTAGAAACTCTGTTTTTCTTTTTTTTCTTCTTCACTGATTTTAGAGAGAGAGGAAGGAAGTAGGAGAGAGAGATGGAAATATCGATGAGAGAGAACATCCACTGGATGACTCCTGCATGCCCCCCACTGGAGATCAGGCCCACAAACTGGGCATGGATTGAAGGTCAACCAGTGAGCCACACCGGCTGGGCTCTACTAGAAACTCTTTACTGATAAAGGGAAACTATTAGCTATGTTGGGCAGAGAGCACCACACCCAAGTGAGTTATCAGGTAGACTGGAGCGTGGATTATCAGGTGACTGAGGCACAGGGAAGAACATGTCTTCACTGCTTGACATCACTGGCAAAAATACATTAACACAGATTTCACAATGTGAAAATAATCACATGAAAACATTTTGTTTGCAACACATCAATGCACATGTACCTTTTACATGCTGTACACTTATTAGTGTACATTTACTTTTATTTATTTATATATTTCTTTATTTTTGTTAATCCTCAACAGAGGATGTATTTGCCATTGATCTTTAGAAGATATGAAAGGAAGGGGTAGAAAGAGACAGATGGAAAAACATCTATGACAGAAGGCCCAGCCAGTGTGGCTCACTGGTTGAGCACTGACCCATGCACCAGAAGCCACTGGTTCGATTCCCTGTCAGGGTACATGCCCAGGTTGTGGGCCCGACACCCAGTAGGGGACATGTAGGAGGCAGGCAGTCGATGTTCTGTCATCGATGTCTCTCTCTCTCTCTCTCCCTCTCCCCTCCTCTCTCTAGACTCAATAAAGAAAAATATTAAATAATAAAAAACAAACACATCTATGATAAAGAAAGACACATCGATTGGTTGTGTCCCCCATGTGCTCCTACTAGGGCCAGAGAGTGAACCTGCAACCCAGGTACCTGACCTTCACCACGAATTAAACCCATGTGAACAGGCTAACACTTGAACCACTGAACCACACGGGCAAGAAGCATATGCTATTAACAGTACACTTAAAAAAGCAAGTGTTTGTGTCCTGGCCGTTTTTCTCAGTGGTTAGAGCGTCGGCCTAAAGTCCAGAGAAGCCCGAGTTCGGTTCCCGCTAAGGGCACATACCTCGGTTGCAGTTTGTCCCGGGTCCTGGTTGGGCGTGCGGGAGGCAGCCACTCAATGTGTCCTTTTCACGTCGATATTTCTCTCTCTCTCTCTCTCTCTCTCTCTCTCTCTCTCTCTCTCCCCCACCCACTCTGTCTGAACAAAAAAACAGAAAAAAGTCTTCGGATGAGGATTAAAAAAAAGCAAGTCTTTCTTACCAATCTAGTAAGCAAGTCCCTTCTATTTACTCCTGTCAGAACTCCCTGAGCTACTCTGAGCAGTAAATGTGCATTTTCTTACCAAGATCACAAAGCTGGTGCTACAGTCACTTGATCCTAAAACCTACGCTTCCCTTCTTCACTGACATCCGAGCCTCTGTCCCCATCCCAATAGGGATGTTAAATACATCTTCCCTTCTTGATCTGTCAGGAAAGGAATGTTTACAAAAACTAAAAGTCATGAATCACAGGCAAGAATGCTTCCTGAGCTGGGGGAGCCTGCAGAAAGTGAATGCACAACAGGCTCTGGGACAAAGGAGAGAAGTATACAACCTGCTGACCTTGACCATCACAAGGAAAAAAGAAATGAAATAAATCAAGGAAAACAACCTCGCTAGAAAAGAATATCAGAAGTAGAGAAATAAAGGTTGCAAGTTCTAAATCCATCCATGTTAGAGGAAAAGCAGACACAGCCTCTGACCCACGACACATCTTTTACCTGAGAAGCGGCCATTTTGTCCTGATCCTGCTCCTGTTCAGGGATGTTTTCTCAGGTGACGTTATGTTTGAGTCACAGAATGTGCCTTCAAATGTGTCCACACAGCCCCTTAAGTCAGCTCCCACCACACTCACAGTCAGAAGAACCTGGAACTGCTGAAAAGGCCACTCTCTGCTGTCCTTTGTCACAGGGGATTCAGGAACAATGAGCTCCTACATGGAGATCAAACAGTGAGAGTTTTGTTTTTTTTTTTCTGTCTTCATGTGTCTCTCCTTCCATACATGTCCACAAACTCCTACTGCAATGAGAGAACGTGCACTGCTGTCCTGAACCCTCAAATCCAACAATTCAACCTGTAACGTGCCCTGAACAAAGCCGGCGTAGAACTCAGATATCCCATCTTTAATTAGTTCCCTCCTGGTGCCTGCATGGCTCCCCAGAGCTGTGTTGAGTGGTGCTGGGTGACAGACATCAGACTGCAATGCCTCACACCTCTGGGTAGTGAAAGGCATTGGAGCATCAGCTTCAGAGACAGATGTCCTTCCTCGGTTTCCAGGAAATAACAGAGAATAGAAGATCTTCATCCTAAAACTTTTGAAAAACTTAACTATTGAAATATACTGATCTAATGACTTCACCTAGTCAGGTCAATCCCGTCCATCCCTCAATATTTTCAGAGAATGGAAAAGAGAGACTTAAGGGGAACAGCTCCTCTGTGGCTCAGTCAATAATTCAACAAATCACATAAAGGGAAGGAAAAAGCTGCTGAACATTAGACCAACTCACACAACTACATTCTAACTATTAAGATCACTGACATCTTTGCCAAAGGCACAGGGAATAGCCTCATATTATCGACTGGGTACCAATGGATGTTTTCACATATGATAAACAATACAGCCCTGGCCAATTTGGCTCAGCGGTTAGAGCGTCGGCCTGCAGTCTGGAGAGACCGGGGTTCGGTTCCCGCTAAGGGCACGTACCTCGGTTGCAGTTTGTCCCCGGCCCTGGTTGGGTCGTGTGGGTGGCAACCACTCGATGTGTCCCTTTCACGTTGATGTTTCTCTCTCCCTCTCTACCCCTCCCATTCTATGTGAACAAAAAATATCGAAAAATGTCCTCGAATAAGGATAAAAACAAAAAACAATACAAAGGATACAGGTCTCAGATCCAAAACTGGACAGAACTATTTTGGTTGTTTTGCTCTTATTCCTCAACCGAGGATTTTCCATCAATTTTTACATATAGAGGAAGGGAGGGAAGGAGAGAGAGAGAAACAAGGATGTGAGAGAGACACATGGATTGGTTGTCTCCAGCAGGACTCCAACCAAGGCCTGCGATCCAACCTATAACCCAGGTACTTGGCCTTGACTGGGAATCAAACCATCGTCCCTTAGGCCCACAAGCAGGATCTCTAACTGATGAGCCAAACCAGCCTGGGCAATGGTTGTTGTTTTTTTTTTAATGTAATGATTTCTAGGAGTTATAAAAAGGTTGAGACTAACTTATATTTAGAAAAGAAAAGGTGGTTGTGGGATGTCACCAACGTTTATTTCAGAAGTCAGTGACTATTTACAAAAACGAAATATTTAACACACTAATCAGCATATTTTAAAAAAATGGTTTAAGTATCAGAAGTGAAAAAAAAAAAAAAAGTCATTCCAAAGGAGAGGAAAAAAAGGACCTAACACTTGTAATATTCCTTGAAATAGCATCATGTGCTGACAGACTCAGGCATTTCTTGTCCCAGCTCACCTCCTTGCCATCCCTGGAGATGAGAAAGTACCCACGACCAACAGACAACTCCCTCCCCTCTATGTGAATAATGTTAGCAACTGGAAGCAAATATGAAATTCACATGCCCGTTAAAGTGGAGATTTGTAATTCTCATTCAAACCTGTTTATATCTAAAACAATTCATCTAATGTTAAATTAAACACATAAAGCCACAAGAAGACATATCCCAACTTCAGCACCCACACACCCCTCCAGCTCTGCAGTCACCCAGATCCAGTCCCGGGCTCCCAGCTCCTGTGTGTTTCTGTCTGCAGATCTGTCTGCCTCCCTGTTCCCCTCTCTGCACTGCTGTCCTTTCCTGTTCCCTCCCCGTCCCCGGCTCCTTCTCCCCTTTTCTCTATTCCTGTCCCTGCACCTGCCCCGCACACTCTGGAAACCTCCCCGCCGTCAGGGGCTCCCCGCCTCTTTCTGAGACCCCTGCCCGGCCCGTGCCCTGTGCCCGTCCTGCCCGTCCCCACAGCGGGCTGCCTCTCAGCGCTGTGTCTCCCTCGGCCCGTCACCCCTGAACCCCTTTCCGTCCCTGCACTCGCTCCCCAATTCTTCCCCTCAGGACCACGCTCTCCGTCCTCGGGGCCCCGTCCCGTCGCCCCCACTTCGGCTCCCCAGGCCGCTCCCGACAGCCCTGTGCTCCCCTCGAGGTGCCCTGTCCCCGGAGAGTCTCACTGTCCCCCGCTCCTCCCCGAGGCCTCTCCCACCCCGTCCGCTCTCGGCCTCAGGACCGTCCCCCACGTGCCGTCTGTCCGTCCGGCTCCCGCCCCTCCGCAGCCGCCGCCGCCACAGCGCGCTCCCCGCGGCGGGACCTCTCCGGGGGCCGCGTCTCCCGGCTCAGTCCCCCCAGGGCGCCCGCGCTGTCCGGGCACCGACACCCCTCGTGCGGCGGGAAGCGGGCTCGGGAAGGCGGGGTGCGGACCCCAGGCCGGGAGCCGTGCGGGTCTCGGGGCCGAAAGCGGTGAGGCGGGGGAGGGGCGCAGGGGGTCGCTCACCCGGACCGGGAGCCGCGGGGCCCCGGCGGCCAGGGGACGTTTCCAGCAGGAGAACCGCGGGCAGGCGGCGCCCAACGGCCGGAGGCGGAGGCACCGCCGCGGACGCGGCTCCGTTTCCGAGGAGACGGACTGGAGCCTCCACGGCGCAGTCACAGGGGACTCGGACCCGCGCCGGGAGAGGCTCGGGAGCGGGTCCAACCAGGACTCCCGTCGGCAGCGCCACCGCCTTCCCTGCGCCGGGAGAGGACGGAGGAAGACGCTTCACCTCAGAAAGACCCTCAGCAGAAAGGACCTGCGGCCCCCGCAGCTCCACGGCCGCTTCCGGGTCTGTAGGCAACTGCGCATGCTCATCCCGGCACTGGGTGGGCGGGGCTGGGGATTCCAGACTGGGAGCAGGGCCAGGACTATTGGCCAGGGCTGTGCGGAGACTAGGTTGGAAGGAAGGGGCTGAAGCCTGGGCGCGGTCCTGGCTCCCTCCCCCTCACTCAAGTGGGTGATAGAAATTCAGTGTTCTTGTGTGAGTTACCCACATCATCACTCCTAAGTTTTAACATCTGTACCGTGCGCAAGGGATGTGCCTTAAGGGTTGTGGAGAAAGGGGGGGTTACCCTGACATTGCAAAGGAATGTTCAAGATACAAAAGAATAAACAGGCGTGGTTAACGGTAAAGATTGACTTTTGTCACAGAAGATGGTAGCCCAGGACATAAGTGATTTTAGTTCAAAAGTTTTACATGTCAAAGCATCCTTTGTGGTTACTTTAGGTCTCTGAGTTTACAAGGCTGCCACCCAGGCCTTCCCTGAACTTCTTAAGTTAGCATGGGGGCTCTTTTCATCCACAAATCCCCCTTTTGGTCATAAATCAATTCAAAGACCGTTTCTGATGACCAACTATTCTGTTATATAATGAGGTCCCACCAAGAGAGGAATGCTCACTTCTAGAAAGTCTCAATGTTATCTGTCTTGCTGAATAATGTGCCATTGGGAACGGGGCAAGACTGTAAGCTTGGGTGGAAGTAAAGACCAAATTAAAGTGTTTAAAAACATATTTTTATTTATTGTTTAGGGAGAGAGAGAATCATCCTTGTGAGAGATACATCCATGGGCTGCCCCCTGCATGCTCCCTACTGGGGATCAAGCTGGCAAGCAGGGTATGTGCCCGTATCTGGAATCAAACCAGGACCTCTCAGTCTATGGGACTACTGTTCATTACAGTAAGCCACGCAAGCTGACCAAATTAATTTTTTTTTGTAAAGTGAAAAGGAGGTAAATGGGAGGCATTCAGGTTTTAGGTTTTAGGTAAGCACTCTGGCCTAGTATAGATTAATGCACCATGAGAAGCATGATTCCCTGTCAGGGTAGAAATGTGTAGGCTACAGGCTCCATCGAGTGGTGTGTGCACGTGTGTGTGTGTGTGTGTGTGTGTGTGTGTGGTGGTGGTGGGGCGTGATTATTGATGTTTGGGCTTTTTATTTTTAAAAAGTCTATTTCTATTGCAGATGGAGGCATGTGTCAGAATCAGTGGCAGATATCCATTCATGGTTATGCATCTGATGACATAAGGTCCCTTCCGACACTGTTGGAGAACTTTAGTTAATGTCCTTTTCAATGCATAAAAATTTTCTGGATGGCCGGTTGGTGTGGCTTAGTGGTTGAGCATTGACCCATGCAACTAGAGGTCACAGGTTCGATTCCAGGTCAGGGCACATGCCCAGGTTGTGGGCCTGATCGCCAGTGGGGGGCATGCAGGAGGCAACCAATTGATGTTCTCTCACATCAATGTTTCTATCTCTTTCTCCCTCTCCCTTTAAAATCAGTAAAGAAAAAAATTATTTAAAAAATTTTTTTCTGGTTGTAACTTGTGATCGTTGAAGTCTTTGTCTTCTGGGAGTACACTGTGAAATGAATGTTATTAGTTTAGTAGGCCCAATAACCAGTGAGGGGCTGGATCTGGGGAGGGTGATGGACCAAGGAAGATTTCTGCAAGTAGAATTAATGTAAGCAGTTTTAGTAATCAAGAACTACAATCACCTGTGCGAGGATTAAGAACTGGAATGTGAAATGCACAACTCTACCTGGGAAGAATAGGCAATTTCATACTGACACCCAGCAGTATTTCTGTTTCTAGTCCCCCATTTCCAGAGAGGCAGAGGCTCAAAATGGCTGAGTTGCAGAGTCTTTCCTAGGGACGTGAGCTGGGACATAAGACACGGACGACTAAGACGTGATCATTTAATACAATAAGCATTGCTTAAAAACGTTTAAGTAAAATTGTTATCAATTACATTATTAAAATAAACGTGGTTCGGTAGAGCACTTTAATTGCCTTGAAATACCTTTGAGATAAACTTCATATCATATTCTTATGCCAATCATATCTAACAATGTAATTTCAAATTTATTTT